TCTGGGCAGTCCTTAATGATTAATCCACTTCTCCCTGAAGTGATTCACTCTCCAAACCTGGGGCCATAACAGTTCCCTTTGTGAGTTAAGTGCCCTGCCATTGGCTATAGCCCCAGGATCATATGACCAGGCTTCTGGGAGCCACTCTGGGGGACAGACCCCCAATCCTCCCACCCTGGTTGACCCTTGCCTTGGGAGAGAAGAGAGGCTAAGAGGTGAAGGCAGGGTCACCAGCTTGTGAGGGAGAGAAGCAGCTGAGGGAATGAGGTCCCAGTGCTACCTAGGGGCAGGGGCAGTGGCTGAGGAGTGTCTGCTGTCCACGCATCTCTCTGTTTTTCTCAGGTACCTGGGGGCCCTCCAGCACCTGGGGCTTCCTACAGACCTTGTTCTAAGCCTCCACCTTGGGGGCTCCACTCCCATGGCTCTCTGAAGGGGCAGAGGAAGGTGCCAGGCCAGTGCACCAGAACACCACTGGCTGGGCCTGAGCTGGGCAGTCTCCTTTCTGCTCACTTCATTTCAATAAACACCAAGCACTTCCTCCCCGCACCAGGCTCTTTGCTGGGTGGCAGGTGCCCTGCGGCATAACCTGGTAGGCCCCGGCAAAGGACGCTGTATGCTGGGCCCTGGGCCCGACATTCACTTGCAGCGCTAAACCACCCTGCTCTGGCCACCTGGATGCTCGGTGAGGCTCACTGAGTCCATGAATGAAAGGGAGAATGGGGCGGTCCTCCAGACTTCTTGTCACGCCAGAGATGGCCTCCTTCCAGGTGTCCTGGCAGAGTCGGCCTGGCCTACTGGGCAGGACTGTGAGGCCGCAGGGGTGAGGAGCCACCAGCCACACCATATGGCACTCCTGGAACAGAGCTGCCTGGGTCCCGCCAAGTAGCCTGGAGCAGCAGAGCTGGAGTAAAGAACTGCATCTTGAGGGAGGACCCTGAGGAAGGCAGGCAGGCAGCTCAGGGAGGAAGGGGAAGGGACAGCAAGGAAATGAGGAGGGGCTGTGAGGGGCCCGTGTGAGATGAAAGTGCCCAGATGTTCAGGCCTGGCTTGATTTTTTTTTTTTTATTGTTATCTGAGAGACGGGGGCTGCCAAGAGGCCCCAGGAAAAGATTTCAGTCTCACTCCCACTCCCACGGAACCAGCGCCATTTGCGAGGCAGACTCCGATCCTTGCTCATCTAGAGCTGCTGGCCAGATGCCAGCACTGGGGGAAGGCGAGGGGGCAGTGAGCAGGCCTTTCCTGCTTGAGATGGCCTTGTTGCTGGCACCGAGGTTCAAGGCCACATGCTGAGGAGTGCAAAACCTTAACTGTCTTCTTATGGCTTCTGATGGCAGAACTTCAATTTTAGCCATTTCAGGGAAACTCTGATCAATTAAGTTTTCCAGTCCAATTGGCCTTTTCTCCTTTATTTCCAGGAACCTCTTAGTTCTCTTAGTTCTGAGGTGTGTCCTCCGTGATAATGAGGAACAGTATTTATTGAGTATTTACGTGCAGATCCTGTTCTAGGTGCTTACCCTGTGTTCACCCTCCCAGCACACCATGGGGTAGGCACGATTCCACTTCACAGATGAGGAAACTGAGGCACAAAGAGGTGAAGAACTTGCCATGCCAATCCTCCTCCACCCTCCCTGCACTGTAAAAATTATTGCAGGGTGGGCAGCAAGGACTGGAGAGTGCCCCTAGGGTCCTGCAGTCAGGATTTGAGAATCAAACCAGGCTAAGAATGGCCTCTTAGCCATTCTGGCGTGTACTTCCATTGGCGAGGCCAATGACGTGTCCTTCCATGGCTCCCTTCCCTGGGCCGTGGAGGGGGTACCTGGCTCGCCTGGGCTGGGACAGGGATGTGGGGTCAGTTGCATATTAGACATTTATGTCATTGTGGCTATTTTAAAGCTCATGCTCACCTCCTGACAGGAGCTGACTCATCCGCAGGCCCTGTAGCAATAGGGTGCTCTCTCCTCCCATTCTCCTCACCAGCCTGGGCTGGTGGCTTTTGGTAGCTCCCTGTTCCCCACATGTGGATTCTGAGCTTGCCGACCTGGCCTAGAGGCCCCCAAGGCTCCCCTGTCCAATGACCCCATTCTAGCCAGCTGCTCCCATCACACCTCACATCTGTACGCGCCCCACCCCCACCTCTCTGCTTGCCTGGGCACCACCAGACTCTTGCTGCACCCCTCTGCCCTGGTAACTGCACAGTTCCCTGACTTTGGAGGTGGTTACGGATGTTTCCTTCTGTCTCTAGCAGCAGAGTACAGAGATCAGGAGCATGGCCCTGGCTGACAGACCCACTTACATCTGCTGTGACATGGGCGTGTCACTTTCCTCCTATACAATATGAGGTTAATAATACCTGCCTCGTGGGCTGATTGTAAGGTTGAGAGAGAAATATAAAATGCTTAATCCCTGGCCCTGCTTATAGGAAGGAGTCTATAAACGGAACTCATGGGCTCATATGCTTTGACTGTCCTGTCATCCAAAGGAGACTGACTACCAAGGGGATGGATGTTATGCCTTCATCGCTTGTCCTCACAACCCAGCATGTAGCTGGCCAATGGTTGATGAATGTTTGAGGGTCATGATGCCAGCTCTTCAAGAAAGATAGTGTCCCACCACTGTGGCTCACTCAGCCTCTAATGGATTCTGGCAACAACGACCCAGTTAGAGACGGTGAAGCTATCTGCCCCTTTTCATCACTGCTTTTTAGAACCTTAAGCCACCAAAAGCCCCACACTGCAGGCAGACCCCTGGACTATGGGATGCTGACTTGGTGGCTTAAGTAGTCACCAGCTCTCCTGTGTCTTTCCCATCCTGGACCTCATAGGAGGCATTCCTGGTTGGGTGGAAATCCCTAAAATCATAGTTTCTTTTCTTTGTCTCTTCCTGTCCCTCCCCTTCCCTCTTCCCTTCTCCTTTCTGCTTTCCCTTCTGTTCCTCTTTCTTTCCCCTGAAATAATAGTTTCTTTCTTTTCTTTTCTTTCTTTCCCTCCCTTCCTTCTTTTTCTGTCTCAGAAAGACAGGTCTTCCTCTGTTGCTCAGGCTGGAGGGCAGTGGCACGATCATAGCTCACTCCAATTATGGGCTCCCACAATTCTCCTGCCTCAGCTTCCCAAGTAGCTGGGAGTACAGGCACATGCCACCACACCTAGCTAATCTTTAATTTTCTTTGTGGATTTAGGATCTCACTATGTTGTTCAGGCTGGTCTCCAATTCTTGGCCTCAAGCAATCCTCCCACCTTGGCCTCTCAAAGTGCTGGGATCATAAGGGTGAGCCACTGTGCCCAGCCTTTGAAATTATTTCCTGCAATAAGAGTACAGTTTTCTAAAATCTAATGGTTTTCTGATATAAACTTGTGATTGTTTCACAGGTGAATGCCTCAAACACTGTCACATCTTACTGTGGGTTTGAGCTGTCGGGATCTTTATACAGCCACCTCAAATTCCATTCAGCTCTCTGTGAAGCTCACTTGGAGACGAGCATGGTCCTTGCTCCCATGCTCTGTAGTAGTAGCTCCTGAACAAATCTGTCAGCCCTAAAGTTCAGTTCTCATGCAGCTTGAGGCCCTCCTTGTGCGTGGAGGAACTTAAGGTCTTAGGAATTTTATTAGATCACAGAGATACTTACTTTCAGCTTGAATGGCGCTTATCTTTGAGCTTGGGTTTAGGCTGCTTGGTTGAACTTACTTATTTCTGACAGTTTTGTCACCATAACTGGAACCTATCAGAAGAGTGGGAAGATTTTAGGACAATTTCAGCCTTTCTAAAACTCTACTGTCACCATAATTCTCAGGGCCACCCTTTGAGACCCCAGGAAAAGGGTGGAGCTGGGAGCCAGGGCTGCTCCTGGTTTGAGGAGAGTTCTAAAGGAAGGAGGAGGAGGGCCTCTTTTTCTTCATTGCCCTTCCCTCTCTCTCTTCTTCCTCCCTCTGGCCCTTTTTCTGTCTCTCCATGTTTTAGGAAATTCATAGGGGCATGTGTTACAGTTATACCATCAAGTTCACCCATGGAAAACGTGCAGTTCAGTGAGCTCTGGCAAACTTACCCAGCTGTGTAAATATTCCCACAAACTGGCTTTGCCACACCTCCATCACCCCAAACAATCCCTGGGGTCTGTTTGCTCCTTTCCCAGCTCCCAGCAACCACTGATCTGCTTTCTCTCTCTTCTTTGGCCTTTTCTTGAAATCCCATATAAAGAGAATCACATAATATGTAGTCTTTCGTGCCTTCTTGCACTCCACATGTTGGCATGCATCATAGTTTTTTCCTTCCACATGTTATTAGTTTTGGCCTATCTTTGTCTTTCTCTGTTTCTCTTTCCTCTCTCTCTGTCTCTCACACACACACACACATTTCTCACTAACCCTCTTTGACTTCTTTTACCCAGTCCTGTGTGGTCTTTGGGCCCTAAGATGCAATTAGGAGAGACGTGTAGAGTTCATACACTAAATGCGTCCTCAGTGGGTACCTACAGGGGCTGCAGCCAGCCTGATCCAGCCCACAGGGGCCCAGGCTGTTTCTCCCTGGTGGTGGTGGGGGGTGAGGAGGAATGGAGGTATGATGGGGCTCTGAGATGTGCTTCCCTCTCCTTTGAGTTGGGGACCCTCAGCCTCTGTCCAAAGAGAGGGAAATAAGCACAAATGAAGCTGGGAGAATAAAGTCAGTTTACTGAATGCACGGCTCCATTCCACTCAGGGTGGAGTGAGGCCTGACAGGTGCCCTTGGCAATGGAACCCTAGGCCACTGGGTCCACCAGGGCTCCTGGGTCCCCTTGGGCTTCTGGGCTGCTTGACCTGAGCTTTCTGGGACTGGACTGGTCACTGTTGTTGCCCATAGATGCTCAAGCTAGACCCCCACAAGAAAGTGGCACAAGGTGAAAATGGTGACTGTGAACACATTGGTTTCAGTTTCAGTAAAGAGAAGGAGGGAGGTGGGCACATGGGGACATAGAAAGGATGGCTGCATGGAGAGGTCTCCATGGCTCAGCTCCATGGCCAGCTCTCTTGCTAGACGACCCGGCTTTGAGAAATACTGCTTTCATTTCCATCTCCCAACTCAGAACCTGGAAAGCAAGAAGACCTCTCAGGCTACAGAGCCACAGCGGAGTGCATCTGTCACGGGGGTGGAGGGGGGTATGGCACCGTAGCTCCTCCTTCTCCCACCCAGACTCCAGGGGCCAGCCAAACACATGGCCACAGTGCCTGGAACAGAGTGGGGAACAAAATCCCCAAACTGCCCCAGGAAGGTTCCAGCCAGACTGGGGCAGCTGGACTGCAAGCCCCTCAACGAAGGCATCATGGAGTCACCATGTGCCCACATAGCTTGCTGGTGCAGCAGCTGCTGCATTCTGAACAGCTGCAGAAGGCTTTGCCGCCTCTCAGGGTAACAGCCCTGTCCCTAACCTGTCAGGAAAGGAGGAGCTGACCTAGGTTTTTAAGGAGTCTTTCAGAGATGAATGGCTGGAGGCAGAGGGACAGTGACAGATGGGGAGAGGAGGGAGGGAGAGCAAAGAGGCCACAGGGTTGGCAGTGGGGCTCAAGTGGAGGAGGTGGGGTCCAGCCTTCCCCTTTACTGTTGGGGGGAGCTCTGCTTCTCTATATGGTTCTTTCCCCTCAGCCTGAGCGAGTGCTCCTTGACTATCTGGAAACAGTTTCTGATTGTTGAAGAAGGGCAGGGAGGAGGGGGAACTGATGTCCCCGCAGCCTCACCTGGACCCTCTCAGCTCTACCTTTTACCTCAAGGAAACCCCAGCCCCATGAGCTGTCCAGGCACCTCACCCATCCTGTGCTTTCTTCAGAAGCTGGTAGCCCCTGTTCCTGCTCATTTTGTCATCTGTATGGATATCTGCAGGTGGCACTGTTCCCCCTCCCTTGGCTTTGGTGTGGTGACAGTCATTTGAGCCTGTGACAAGTTGTCAGATCTGGGCATTCACACCCACGTACTCTGCCCAGCTGCCGTGGTGCTGCTGTGGTCACTGTGTGGGGCTTTGCTTCCCAGGTGCAGGTAAGCAGGCTGGCACAGGCACCAAAGAACCATTAATAGACTGGCACCTCGTTGTGCCACCTAATGTGTCCTGATATTTTACCTTTTCCCTCTATTTACCTGAACTCAGCTAAAGTGGCAGGTCACAGCTGTGACTCAGCTCTGGCAGTGCATATTAACATATTGCTGCCAACCAGGTGAGTCATGCCAGGCTGCCAGGGGACCAAAGAAGAAGGTGGCCCTGGGGGAGGGCAGAATGCATGTGGCTCTGCCTCTGGCTGTCCTGGCTCTTGTCTTGACAATGCTATAGGAGGAAGCCAGGCAAGGGCTGTGACTGGCCAGCAGGCCAGGATGGTTCCTCTGTGCTGGACTCTCCTCCACCTTGGCTGTGCCCACCAGGGTCTGGGATGTACACAGGGCTGGCAGCGCATAGACAGCACCTGGACCTCCAGGAGAAAACTAGATGTCCCTGAATTGGGGCAAGGATTGGCTGGTGGAGTGGAGTGGTGGGGGTAGACCCTACAGCTGGCCCCAGCTCCTTGAAGAAGGATGGCAGATGTAGGGCCATCAAAACAGGAGCAGTACGGGAGGGCAGCCGGTCCGGTTCCTTCCCTTCCTTCCATGGAGGCTTTTTCAGCACCACCCAGGAACACTTTTCTGCCCTGCAGAGACGTCAGTCTTTCCTGGGTCCCCCGCTGAGAGGCCTGGGTTCCCCTTTCCTATCCACAGCCCCGGCTTCAGGGTCTGGAGGGAAAGATTCGGCCCTGCGGGCGCCTGCCCGGGCGGCAGCGGCCCTCACTGGGCACGAGGGGGCGCCCCTGCCCGGCCGAAGCCACCGGGCGCGCCCGGCCTGAGGGTCTCCCAGGGCGGGGAAGAGGCTCAGGCGCCTGCCGGGCGGGAGCGGGAGCGGGGAGGGGCGCAGCCCGGTCCTGCCGGGTCCCGCAGGCCAGGGCCGGGCTCCCTGTCGCTCCCTTTCTTCGCCATGACGCGAGGCAGGTGGCTGCTCGGAGCGACCGGGCCGAGGCGCTGGGGCGTTTTCCCCGGAGGTGGGGTGTGCGCCCGCCACACAAAGGTCTCCCTCCCGGCTGCGGACCCGGGAGCAGCAGCTCGGCCCGCCCAGGCGACAAGGCGACGAGGCCGGGGTGGGGACGACCGTTTGAAGGGGCGCTGGGTCCTGGCGAGCTCGGCCGGACCCCTGCGGTGGGGACCGGGGCGCCACAGGCTGCTTTTGTGAACGGGAGGGAGGGCCCTTCTCTTCCCGGCTTCGCAAGTCTGCGTGCCCGGAATGGCAGATGGCTTCTCTGGGGTCGTAATCTGGGCCCGACCCTGTGGCGCTTTGAGCTGTTTCAGGGTCTCCTGCCCGCCACCGGCTGCACCCGGGGCCCTGGGTGGAAAGGACAGACCCCAGGGCCCTACCTGGTGCCTGAAGCAGAATCTCCGGGAGGGGCCCAGGAATCTGTATTTTGGGGAAGTCGCTTAGGTAATTCTGACGGCAAAGCCAACGTGGGAACCACTGTTCTAAAGCTTTTAGGATTTGCAAACTGTAAAATTTCTCCTAGGAGCCTCTGGGGACCCAACTGTCACGTCTCCCTTTTCTCCCTACTGATAGAGAGTTCTTCCTGAGTCTGACTTGGCTCCTGCCTGCTTTAATTAAGCACATTTTCTCAGTCGGGTTCTCTGTGGAATAAGGGGCAGGAAGACTTTTCTCAAGCTGTTGTAAGACAGCCGTGTAGCCTCCTTCGAGGGTCCCTTCTTAGGAAACCCGTTGGCTTTGTTCAACCTCTGAATCCAGGAGACCTGCTTGATTGGGCTGAATGGTGAGAAAATCTAGTAAAGCCACTAGCTTGTGAACGAATGTGATCCCGTCAGGCGACTGGCCAAACAGCCCCCTTTCACAGTCTGGGAAGGAAAACTCCAAAGGATCCTGGCAGTAAAATCCCCAGAAACGCACCTCATGATCCCAGTAAGGCAAAGGGAAAAGCCTTATCTCCCATCTACCCTCTTCCCTTCTGTCGGCCTTTTCCTTGCTTTCAGGATGAATTAAAATCCTTATCTACTCTGCCTCCAGCTACTTGGACTCGCCTTCCTGATAGCTGCAGCTAGAGTTTCCCAAGCTTTGTGGGGATTATTTTTGCCTCTGGGTGGTGGTCATTACTTCCTTCAATGGTATCGGGTTCAACAAAATAACAGAAGAGTAACTCAACATACACCCTCAAAATGGCAGAAGTGACCCCCAAACCTACTTTCATTTTCTTCTGATCTGGGCTGTGGGTAATTTCTTGACAACTATGAGAAAGAAGACAAAGAGAAATGAGATATGAATTGTTTTTCCGACACAGTTGTGAATAATTTACTGGTCTCGGACGTTCTAGGAGTTCCTCACATCACCTTAAAGGGGAGAGGGGAGCAGACAAGGGTGCAGAGACAGCATCAGTGCCTGCATCTAAAGAGGGCTGGGCGATAACCCGGTCACCTCTGCTGTTTCGGGGCTTCTAAATTTGGCAGCGTGAACAGGCTTGCTTCCTTTCGGCCATTGATCTGAGTAGCAAATCCCATTCTGATGGCCCGAATCACATTTACAGGCTGTGGGGGTGAAGGCCGTGCTAATTGGCCACTTGCCTCACCGCTGGCTTTTAAACAATCGGTTGTATTCTCTACCCGGCAGGAAGCAGCAGACCCATCAAGGCCCTGGGCTCTCTCTTTGTTCTGACTTTATGGCATTTTATGCCACAATAAGAAACACTGTGTACTCCATGGGAGCCCATTGTGCCAGGCCTCAAGGATGTGGGCTCTGGTGCTCTTCCCCAGGAAGAAAAGGGGCTTTGTGACAGGCTAGGAGACAAAACAAGGGGTGCTGGACACTGTTACTGGGGCAACGGCCCACCCAGTCCAGGGTGGAGGCAGTTTTGGTCCTTGGGCCCCCTTCCTTGACCAAGGAGAGAGAGGGCAAGGGAAGGATGGAATTCCGTCTAGAGTAGCAGGCCCTAGTTACCTGGTAAATTATACATCAGGACTGCGCTAGCCACCCCTTCCATTTTCTCTGGGCTGATGAGATGACCTCTGCCTTGCCTCTAGATTCTGAGCCAGGTGATCTACCTAACTGCTTCTCACACTCCACAGGGAAACTCCATCATGGTGAGTAGGGAAGTTTTTCCTACTGTGACCCAAACCCGGGCTTCCCATACTTTGGGCAGATTTGGACCTTTGAGGGAAGAACTTTTGGTTTTGTAGAAATGAAGTGAATGGGAAGGAGTCCCAGCCCCACTCGTGAAGGGACCAGTGGAGTTTGAGAGCTACCTCTAGGCCCTGTCTGTCTCTCAGGCCAGCCACTGTGCCCCCCTTCCCTCCCACCTAGCCCAAGTTGTCCACCATTAACAGTACACTTGACATTGGAGACAAAGGAAGGTGCTCCGGGAGATGACTGTACTCATGGGATAGGGGCAGGTCCTCAGGAGTCCAGGACAGGGAGCTCTGGGGGAATAGGCCCTGAAAAATGGAGTGCCCCATGTGGGTGCTGAGAGAGAAGTGGGGAGAGAAGGCAAGTCCTTTTAGCTTCACCTCACAGGCTGGCCTATGTCCCCATCAGATGGAGATAGGTGAGGCTGGTGGCTCTCATGTTCTCTGGGGAGGCTTCCACTGTGACCACCTGAAGTAAGGAAAGGCCAGCTTCCTGCTGGCCACTGGCGGAGAGGAGCATTCAGTGCTTCCCTGAGCCTGTTCCTTGCTCTGTGCCTACCCAGTCTGTCAGTCCCACCCACCCTCCCAACTGGGCCCCCTGTGGTCCTGAGCTACCTCCAGCCCACCTTCCATGTGGCACTGGAGTTTTCTCTCAAAAACACAAATCTCAGCCCAGCACCCATAGTTCAGTGAGTAGGGCGCCAGCCACATACACAGAGGCTGGTGGGTTCAAGCCTGGCCCGGGCCTGCTAAACAACAACTGCAACAAAAAAATAGCTGGGCATTGTGGCGGGCACCTGTAGTCCCAGCTACTTAGGAGGCTAAGGCAAGAGAATTGCTTAAACCCAAGAGTTTGAGGTTGCTGTGAGCTGTAATGCCACAGCACTCTACTGAGGGCGACATCGTGAAACTCTGTCTCAAACAAACAAACAAACAACAACAACAAAAAAAACACACAAATCTCCTGTCCTGGGAGTCCCAGGCTGGAAACTGCTCTGTGACCCTCCAGAGTGGCTCACAACCCTTCCTGCACTGCTCGCAGCCCCCACCTCAGGCTCTCTTCCTGCCTGCCGGTGACACAGCTCTTGGACTTCCCCAGGCACGCAGGTCTTTCCCTGTCTCTGTGCCTTTGCGTTTCCCTCTGCACTGGACACCTTTCCCTCCCCACCCACCCTTGTCCGTCTGCCAAACTCTCAGATCTGGGCTAAACATCATCTCCTTTTGTGATCAGCCAAAAGAGAAAACAGAGGCAGCTTTGCTACCAGGGTCCCAGAGCAGTAGGAAGACAGATGGCAAAGGGCACAACCTGAACGGATTAAGACAAGGCCTCTGCAACGCTGGTTTGTGTCCCTGAAGAGCCTGGCTGGAAGTGTGTCCTGGAGAAGGGGCGCCTCCTCGTCCCAGCTAACTCTGCTCTCTGTTCCTCCACCTCTGGCTCAGTATTTTCCATCTTAACACAGGCACAGACCTGGATACTCTTGGTTCCATGTGTATTCTGTCCAGACTCAGAGTCACTTACAGGCAAGGAGTGTCTTAATCATCTTCGTATTCCCAGAACCTACTTTAGAAACCTGGCACATAGTAGGTTTAGAGAAAATCTTTAAATAAATAAACATACCTAGAACTTGAGAGAGTTCCTTTACCTAGAATACTATTCTTTACAAATCTTGTACTGTCATTTCTCTAAAACATAACTCAAGAACTTGCCTCCCTGGAGAACTAGTTCATCGCGCATCAAAAAGTTATTGAGCATCTATTACGTGCCAGGCATTTTCTAGGTACTAGAGAAGTGTCAGATGCAAAAGAAATGAGGCTTCCATGCCAGCGTCGCCAGTGAATGCCTCCCACCTGTGCAGACCACTTCCTTACTTGGCAGTCACTTGGCATGTCTGTAATCACTCAAGTGCCTAGGACATGGTCAGCAGTCAGCTGTGACTTGTCATGTGCCCAGCATCATGACAGGTTAGAACGCCTGGCTTTGCCTTCATATAGCATATAGACTCACCAGGGAGACAAATCGTTTATGAGATCACTGGAAAGCCCAGTCAGGGAAGATCTAGTCCTGTTAATTTCACAGTCTCTAGGAATTCACTGGGTCCCCTGCTTCTCTTGCCCAAGTGCTCCTTTTCAGTGACTTCCTCTTTGTATAAGTGTGTGAGTCTCATCTCCCAGCTTCATCACAAGCTTCTCAAAGGAAAGGACATCACGGCATCATGTCTGGCAGCCACTTTCCTGGCCCCCTCTCAGCACCTGCTGCAGGGCAGTGTGTGAACAAATGAGGAAATGATCGCCACCATCCACAGGATTTGTCACTGGGCCTCTTTTGCTAAATGTTAAACCAAGATTCAGAATGTTTTCTGTTAAAACATACAGAGATGCAAATCCAGAAGAGTGTGAATTTGCAAAAGCCAGTTGGGTTCCTACTTTCATTCAGGTGCCTCTTAACGGGCTGTTTGTACTGGGTATTACTTGGTAGTTTAAGTGGGTGAGATCAATTTCAGAGCTTCTCTAATTACATGTGGGCTTGTGGGGAAAGAAGAGTGTCCCTGGTCCTTTCTTTCTGTTTCTTTTCACTCTAGTCCGTGGCTTGTTCCTGCCACTTACTCTTTGTCCAAGTCAGTTTTACTGGAAGGTTCTTTAGAGTCAGTGCTTTAGGGCCTTGGTTCTAATCCATTGGGTTGTCCTGTTTGATGTCTCTCATATTTGCTGTGCAATCCTGGTGGCTCATGTTGCTTGCATTGGCTCTTGCTGGGGCCGTATGTAACCTGTATCAACCCTGGGTGCTTTGAAGTTCAATGTGCAATAAAAAGTTCATTAAAAAGATGTGGAATCATGACAATGAGGTTACAGAAATGCTAATAAAGGATCATTTCCTGCTTCTTGTACTCCATTTTACTTTTTATTTTTTTAATGGATTTCTCTGAAAAATTGTCACCATTAAAACCATTGGAGAGTTCAGGAAGGACAGGCAGGGGTCAAAAAGAGGGGGAGATTCCTGAGGAGATGTCTTGGCAGAGACCCAGGTTGTTTTCTTAATTGAGAGCTTGGGGTCTAAGAGGAGATTTTAAATCAGAACAAATCTAGAATTATTTTCTTTTCTTTCTTCTTCTTCTTTTTTTTTACCCTCTGTTGCCCAGGCTAGAGTGCAGTGGCATGATCATAGCTCATTGCAGCCTCAACTCCTGGGCTCCTCGGACTCCCAGAGTGCTGGGATTATAGGGGTGAGCCACTGCACCTGGCCTCAAATCTAGAATTCTTCTGACTAATGGTTTGTACAAGCATTATTAACAGGGATGGCTCCGTGTGTCTGCAGCAATGTGAGGAATATGGAATCCCCGGGCTCCACTTTCAGGCAGTGGCCAGTGCTGGCAGATGCCCCTTGTCTACTTGAAGTAGAAGAGGCAGAAAAGGAGGAAGAGGAGACTAGATAGTGGAGAGGAGGAGAGGTGCACAGGGTGGAGTGGCAGAGTGTCACTAAAACTGCCTTGTGGTCCCTCAGTGGCTTGTCTACTCCCACACTGGCTCGCTTTCTAGTTCTGACCTGACATGAGCAGAGTTCAATATCCAAGCCTTAAGATGTGTCCTGGAAATCCAAAACAGTGCAAGCACACGAGCTCTTGCATGCCTTAAGCCAGGTGAGGAGGTGCCCCTCCTTGCCAGGCCTCAGAGAGGCATCTGATGAAGAAGGAAGTCTCCTGGAGCTCATGTACTGACTCAACAGTGACCACATGTACTAGGATACTTCATAGGTTGGCCAGTCCAAGTCCTTTGTCTGGGCTGACTTGGCCAATGCCAGACTCTAGTTAGCAGCAGAGCCAGGTGTCTCCTTCTACACCATGTGGCTTCCTTGGGGACCCCAGTTCTCTCATCAAAGAGAGGGCAGCTACAGATGATCATTCCTGGTAAATACCTTGCCGTATCTCTAATGGCAAACGGTGCCACCATCAACACCTTTATTTCTTAGTAACCTGTCCCCTTCAACAGGTACACACAGTGGCACAACACACCTAGGATCCAGAGCAGAACAGGAAGAGAGGCTCCTTGGATGGTCTGACCTCTCGCCTATGCGGAAGGTCCCTCTTTTTCACAGATCCCCCCTTCTTGGGCAGTGGGCACGCCCACACTTAATGCACACCTAGAGGATGCACACCAGCACATCCTTGCTGGCCTCTATTTTGGAGAGCAGGTATCCCTGGAGACTCACTCACTTACATAACCATTTAATTACTACTCCTGTGTAATAGTAAGCAACCATGTGATTATCCCTTACTTTTCAGCCTGAGGGTCACTTAGCAGCTGCTAAATCTGAGTCTTAACAGTGACAGTCCCACATCCTATCAGGTGACCGTGAGGACCTCAACAGATTGCATGTCTAATAAACAACACTGCAAGGTCTTTAGGGCTGCTGCCGGACAGCTCCGGGTCACAGCCAGACTTACCCTCTCTCTTGCGAACCAGCTGTAGTTGAGTCTCGTGAATTCTGCAAACCTCTGCTCATAGAGGTGAAGTAGCAGTACCAGGTACAAGCCTGAGTTCATCAGCTCATTTTGTGCCTAAATATGGAAAAGAAAGCTCTTAAGTTCATCTATAAATTATTCATGATACAAACCATGGGGTGAAGGGAAACAAGGCTAAGAGGTGATAAGACATGGGACAGGGGCCCAAGCTCCAGGGCAAGGCCTGCCTGTGGGGACCAGAGGTCAGAGCGGGAGGAGGCCCATCGTGGAGGTCACGGTAGCCTCCTACTCCAATCTTCTGCTACCTAGTGGAGGATGCTGTGAGGAAGATCCATTTTCCAGGCCAGGCTCAAACCCACTCCACAGACATTTATTGAGCAGTTTTATGTATGCAAAGCCTTGAGCTGGGTGTTATGGGTCTCCCTGCTGGGTCCCTGTCATGTGGCAGGGGGAGAAAGCCTGGTTCATAAACAGCTCCCGTGCAATCTGGGTGTGCCAAGTGCTACACCTGAGAAGAAAAGAGAAGAAAGGAAGTAGAATATGACAGGAGGGCATGTGGGAAGGCTTCCTGGAGGAGGCAGTCTTGGATGGTCCTTAAAGGCTGGGAGGCTATGAGGGGTGTGAAGTGCCTTTCAGACAGAGGAGGCAAGGGCAGAGAGAGTAGATCACTCGGTGGGCAAGGTCCCCACAGATCCACCCAGTGGGGCTGGAGGATATGGGAAGGGTGTTTAAAAAAAAAAAAAATTGGGCATAGGCCAGGGAAGGTAGGGCCGCATTAGGCAGAACTGAGTTTGGATGTCATGCTGTGTGGGTATGTGGAACTGCCCCTGTCTTTGAACAGAGGAGTAAACAGGATGAGATGTGTCTCGAAAGTTTTCTGTGGGAGACTCTGGGACACAGATGCCACAAGGGGGGCTTTAATTTCCTAGATCACTCCTTTGCCCAGAGAAAGAGGCCCAGACCTTAGTTCCGTTTTTTTTTCTTCCTTTACAAGTGGTCTTACTGATGGTCTCACCTGAGACCCCTTTCTCCCTCCATGATCATGGAGCTGGTCCATTACCATTTAACACCCAGGCAGGGTCAGGGATGGCACTGGGACCTCAGGGCCGGCCTGTGCTTGAGCTCTTACTTGTTTGGTCTGTTGTTTTCATGCATGTGTTTTGAAGGCTCCTTTTACCAGGCCTTGTCTATACTTCCTCACAGCTGTCACAGATGTCACCTTTGCAAAAGCCGGTGAACCTCATTTGTCCCTATCATTCCTTTGTTCTCTAACTCCTAAACAATTTTTTTTTTTTTGAGACAAAATCTTGCTCCTTGCCCCAGGCAGAGTACAGTGGCATCATCACAGCTCACTGCAGCCCCAAACTCCTGGGCTTAAGCGAGCCTCCTGCCTCAGCCTCCTAAGTAGCTGGGACTATAGGTAGCTACCACAATGCCTCACTAGTTTTTCTATTTTGGGTAGAGATTGGGTCTCAGACCTGCTTAGGCTGATCTCCAACTCCTGACCTCCAACGATCCTTTTGCCTCGACCTCCCAGAGTGGTAGGATCACAGGCGTGAGCTACCACGTCTGTCATTTGTTTTTATTTTGTACACCACCTCTTGTACTTGTTGATGTTTCTGCTTTTTCTTAAGAGGTGGGTTGTGTTTGTTTTTCTCACTGGTGCTCAGAACAGGTGCTACACAGGGAGAATCCAGCTGTCGGGCTGGCCATGGTGCCTGTCTCAGCTCCTGCATCTGTGTTTCCAGGCCCCACTCTTGGGACCCTTCATAGATCTTCAGTAAATCAGCGATGCTGGTAACAACTCGTCCCCTCTGTAGGGGAAAGAGGGAAAGCTCCTTAAGCCTCCATCTGTCCTCATGGCAAATCCCCATGGAGGGTCAGCTTGGGGATTGGCCAGACAGTGCTCAGAAAGCCACCCAGACTTGGATGACTAAAATCCCAGCAGAGGGCACGCACTTTACATGCCCCAGGAAAGGTGGACCCGTGACTCTATGTGCCCAGGATAACGAGGGCTGGAGGGTAACATGGCTACCGGTTTGACCCAGTGACCACTTCAGCATCTGATCTTCCTTCCTCCTGCAGCAGCCCAGGCCCCTCCCTGGCCCATCTCCCTGTTGCCTCTGATCCAGGGCAGCTCAGGAAGCTGGCACAGAACACACCTCTCCGGGGCCAAACAGCCGCCAGAAAAGGCGCGGAAGCTGAGCAAGGATGGATGTGCTCTTCCTTCTGAATCAGGGCCAACTCCGGATCTTGGTGACAGCTGGCCCCAAAGTCACTGCTGCAGGCTTCTCCATTGTCCTACGGACCCACCTTTGAAGGCTCAAGTCCGCTGTCCTTAGTGGTTAGCCTCCTATGTTTAGCCTATGGTCATGTTTTCTGTGCTCTGCTGACCTTGGCCTAGAGTGGGCAGAGAGCAAGTTGTTCACCTTTTCTGTTTTAACTGCCTTCTTCTACCATCCCCAGGAGGTGGCACCTGCCGCCTCCTGTAAGGATGGTCTTGCCAGCCACCTCCTCTGGGAAGTCCTCCTAATGTGCCTCTGGCTCCTCCACCCCAACCCTGTTTGTTTCCTGAGCTGTGGCTTCCTCCTGTGAGCCACCCGGCTCCTCGCCAGCCAGCCTTTATGCTCAGAGACACTCTGCCACGTAATGGCGAATCAATCAGCTAGAAAATGGCTTGGAACTATCAGGTTTGTCAAAGCATTCAGGGAAATCATTTACTTTTTATGACTCAATAAGGCCCAGAGGCATGCAGATGGGAAAATATCCACTAATGTTTTCTGCAGATAATTTGAAAAGTCACTTCTAGCAGATTGTGTCTCTTCTCTAGTCTGTGGGAAGGAACCTGTCACGAGATGCCATAAATCTTGCTGGCTAGGCCTTTATGCGCGCCCTTTGCAGAACTTGTGATGCTGGGGCCACCAATCAGAGCAGGCGTGTGATAGTCAACTCCGAGCCATCCTTTATGCTCCTGAGCCACAAGTGGGAGGATTTGTTAACAGAAAGAGTTCCGCGGTGTTTGTTCGGCAGGGCCAAGCGAGCCAGGTTTGGAGTGTTATTTATTGGGGCTACTCTGACCCTCTCCTCCCTCTGCCCAGTTGCATCTCACTTTGACTCCCACACGGAGCTGCCTTTGTGCACTGACTGAAGGGGCAGGGGTGGTAGGAGGGCTGGGGACAGCAATGAAGGGGAAGGTGTGTGAAGCAGTGGACAAGGGCTCTGCAGAGCTCAGCTGCCTGCCAGCTGTTTTCCCTTCTCTTCTCCATCTTGTTAAGATTCAAATCCTTTCGGCCAAAAGATTTGCTGCTGATGGAAATTCTCAATATAATCCACCTGTAGAAGCCGACAGCCCAGCTGAACGTTTTATCAAGTCTTCATATATGTTCAAGAGATGCTCCCAGGTCTGAGGGTGATTAAGTGACTGTGTGTGTCCAAGGACATCTGTCCTTGGCTGAGATAGAGTGAGGCCAGGCTTGTGCTTCACAGTAATGACAGCCAGAGCCCTCTGAGACCCTTCTAGGTGGCAGAGCAAAGATGGCAGGAGTATGTCCATATGCTCAATGGGTCCGGGCCACTGGAGTTCATCTTACCTAGAAGGTGGGCAGCCAGGGGCCACTGAACACTGCAATTTGGGATAAAGAGTTTTAGCTCTGCAGGGCCATACTGACTTCATTTATAAACTGGGAGAAGTAACCTCTGTTCTGTCTCTTTTCCAGAGTGTTATGGCAAAATGAGTGGTATTTCATAAAACAAAAACATCCTACAAGAGGCAAGAGTTAAAGGGGCAGGATAGATAAATCAGGTATCAGATCCGTGAGGGCAAAGCCTGCGTCTGCCTTGCTTGTTCCTATATGCCTGGTACCTAGCCCAGTGCCTCATATATGTGCTTACCAAATAAATAAATGCGCAGATGAAACAATTTGAAAAAAATGTCAAATTTGGGATCTGACAGTGTGGGCCATTCAGGCACAATTTTGGTGCTCGTGGGTCTAACTTTAACACACATCAGAAATACTGAGAGGGCCTTTTAAAGCACAGCTGCTGGGCCCTGCTGCCTTTTTCCTCCCTGAGTTTCTGAATCAGTGGGTCCGGGGTAGGGCTCAAGAGCGTACACTTCTACCAGGTCCCAGGGTGATGCTCATGCTACCGTCTGAGGACCACCCATCTTTGAGAATCGCTGCTCTAAACAAGCAGCCAGCCAATAAGCCGAATCTGGCTTGAGGATGTGCGCTGGGTGGATGGAAGGAAGAAAAGAAGTCAGGAAGGAAGAACATGAACATCTTTAGTTTGGGGAGAACTGTCCATTTTGCTACAGTTGCCACCACTCCCACCTGCATGAGCCCTGGAAGATTCTAGTCATTTGTTACCTGCCTGGACATTATGCTATTTGAATGTATAACCTGTGACCTAAACTTAAACTCATTTTCTCCTGGCCATTTGGGAGCAAGGAATATTATCTGGATCTCTGCGCGTAACTCTCCAGTTCTTCCTTCTACTCAAAAATCGAGGACCCAGCTAGGATAACATATGTGTCCTACTTCCAGGTTAAAGCGAATGGTCACAGAAGGTTATGTGGCACTGCCCCACCGCAGTGCCACCAAACCTGGTAGTGGGTGCTGAATGCCTAGTGGCCTTAATGATCAGGTATCTTTGAGTAGGAGGGAAGGAGGGCCACACTGCTACAGGCCCTGACAGGCCTGAGATTAGACTACCAGGTGCCAGCGTCCCAGGTCCTAGGGACCCATAGCTGGTTTACTCTAATGGGTCACTCTCTAGAAAGCTGATCGAATTCAGCCGCATGAGACCTAGTAACAACCCAGAACCCCATGAGGCCCTTCCTGGAACCAGCAATGTCAGAGGGACAAAAGGATAGTTAGATTGCAACGTCCTGCTAGGCCCTGTGAGCGGCATTGTCCTGCTGGCATCAGAGGTGTAGAACCAAAGTAGGAAAACCAGCTCTGTTGTGAGCCCCTCGGCAGAGGGCATAAAAAGGGCATGCCTGGCCTGTGAGCAGGTTCCGATGAAGTGTCTGACTCAGATGCCTCAGACTTCACCCCAAGAGTGGTGGGTATAGGACCCACTCTTTTGCCTTCCTG